TAAGGGTTCCCAACCCAGTCCTCAAGTATCCCCTACCAGCCCAGGATTTAGGGATTACCCTCTGTTGTGTCAAGTGTTTTTTTCCCCCAAAACACCTTAGACACAATTGAGTAATCCTTAAATCCTGGACTGATAGGGGTTACTTGAGGACTGGGTTGGCAACCCCTGAACTTTCCTCATAGAGATGCAAGAGTTCATCTGACGCGTGCGTTTCGCCCACAGATGTCCCCTCTGATGAGCTGTGGGCAAAAAGCGCACGTCAGGGGGAACTCGGCGATCCAGAGAATTAACACTTATTACATGCTTTATTAAGAATGGATTTTTATGTCTCAGGATCCAGAGTTTGTTAAACCGCTAATGTTTTAGGTTGAAGCATGGAGCTATACACACACTGAGGATTTGATATTAAGCCATCTTATCAGATAGTTTAACTTTATAAGCTTGGCATAGATAGCTCATCTATCCCCACAGCAAGAGCGGCTGCACAGATTTATCTATCCACAGAGGCTGCACCCTGTGCTTTCTGCAGCAGTGTTCTGCATCACTCACGATTATACATAGTGAACTGACGATTACACTTCATGTGATTTGCTAAACATTGTTTTGCATACAGTATTAGATCAAGGTCCCTGCAAACTTTTGAATAGGACCTTTTTTTTGTGGACTGCAAAACGATCGTTGCAGATACCACTAGATAGGGTTTCTTTTTTATTTATTTTTTTGGCGTGTCGTTGCAATACATTCTGGTGGGAATAGCTGTATAGCATAGTACATACATGGCACAATCGAGTATAAGAATACATTGTCTACATTGTCACAAGCTGAAATGTACTGTTATTGATGACACTTTTTGACATTGTCACATTAGCACATTAAACCATTAACCAGTTAACTGAGGATATGGTTTCTAAATACTTGAAAATAAAAGTTAATTTAGCCCTGTACTCTATTTATTAGCGGTCCACAGGGTCTCTCTACATATTGCCCTGTACTCTATTAGAGGTCCACTGGGTCTCTCTACATATTGCCCTGTACTCTATTTATTAGCGGTCCACAGGGTCTCTCTACATATTGCCCTGTACTCTATTTATTAGCGGTCCACAGGGTCTCTCTACATATTGCCCTGTACTCTATTTATTAGAGGTCCACAGGGTCTCTCTACATATTGCCCTGTACTCTATTTATTAGAGGTCCACAGGGTCTCTCTACATATTGCCCTGTACTCTATTAGAGGTCCACTGGGTCTCTCTACATATTGCCCTGTACTCTATTAGAGGTCCACAGGGTCTCTCTACATATTTTCCTATTGACAAGCTATTAACCAGTGAATGTAAATATGTTGGTTTATTATTATTATACTTGTGAATATTAGAGTGTATATACTTTAGTTTATCACTATATTTTTGAATATAATTTCCACTTAGGATATCCAGACTAGATTTTAGAATTACTATTAAAAGCTATATTTCAAAGGGCACTCATTTTTTCTCTTTTCTCGATAATTTCATAGTTCTGTTCCCTGTTCTTTCTATTGATATAGGAGGAGCTACCCATTGGTCAATGCTGCCATGGCTTGAGTAAGAAAAAATAAAACACACCTTACTCTACCTACTTTTATCATTGACAATGATATCAGTGTGTGCCTGCCAACACATTAAAATAGCTCCGATTCTCTTAATGACAAATGCAGATCCTAAACTTGACTTTATGTCTATGAAAGCAATGTCCAACTACCGTAATTTTCATTCTACCATAAACCAGGCACTCAAACACCACATTGGACAAAGGACACAAAAAAGGAGCAACAAATAATTTATTATAAAACATCAAAAAAATCCTTTGCATATCATTACTTTGCAGCCTCATAATTTTAAAATACTTAATAAAGATGTCTTACATATACAAAACAAGACTAGTTTAGGAACAGGGTTAAAAGTGTTTAACTATTTTAATGGAGCGGAGGCAAAAATCTGCTTTGTTGTCTTTGTTGACAAGGAATTTCGAAGACAGACAGACATGTTCAAATATTGAAAAAAAATCTGTCTGAAAATGTGGATTATGGCAGGTAGCAAGTCAGTTGAAATCTCTGGTAAAAGGGTAGTTGAGAGCATGTTTTAAATCAGTAATGGGGACGTAAGTCTAACAGTTGGAATGACAAATGATAGAAAAATGGTGGGCTGTGGGCATACTCAAACATAATAGATGTTGAGTAAAATTGCATGTTATACGGACATAAATACTATTTTGATCCAGTAATATATCTCACAGTCAAGTCTCATAACTACCACATGTATGTGATCGTATATCCATGTGCCATTTCATTTAAAACCCATTTCTATTTTGACATTTTATTTTCGATTTGAGTTCTAATAGACTTTTTGTGCTGGCACTATAGTTGTGTAAATGAACAAGACACCTATTTTCAACATCTAGGACTTCTTCAAATTCTTCTGTCACACTGCACAAGTTGCACACGCTCTTACATGAAAATGGTTAACATTATTTAAGAGGAGTTTTTTAGTCAAGCAAATAAAAGTTGCTGTTATACGTTTTCACATTTAAAAAAAAAATATATATATATATATATAATTTGATTAATTCCAATGACATAGCAATTGTCTTTTATATAAACTGAAAATGCACTTCATACAAATCAACTTCACTCATACTGCCTGCTTTAATAAATATTTGTTTGTGCCTACATCAGAAATACTCTGCCAGAATTTCACAGAGACCGGTTCTTCTCTGAGATGAATGGAGATAAGGTTTGTGAACCGAAGATGGGAGAATCTGGAGAACCTGCTTCTAAGCTTGTGGATACAGGCAAGACATGCTCACATCATGGGAAACGTTAATATGCACAGGGAGAAACTGACAGTGCTTTTCCAGAAGTAATTTGCAGTGTTAAAGTGTATTTCTGTTAATCAAAATATATATTTAAAAAAAAAAAAAAAAAACAGCATTAGCTACAATAAAGGTCAGCAAAACACAAAAAAAATATTTGACCTAATTAAATCTCTCGAAAGACATAGAAAACGTAAAAATAATAAATAAATCTCTCTTGGATACCAAGGATCGTCATTCGTTTCAGATAAATTCATTCTAAAATACAGAAATAATTTTTCTCCATAGTGAGCCCTGGTTGATAAAATGTCAGTAAAAAAAAATGTAAACAAATGTCTGAATTTATTGCAAAATACGAAGTCACTGTATCTTTTTGGATCGCAACTTTTCCAAGGTTTTCTGTAAAACAAAATAGAGGAAATTTTTTTTTTTTTTAAATTGGCAATACGATCATTAAAACATTCCAAATCAGCATTAACTTTGCCAAGATCTTTGCTGAGATGTCAGCAGGGGCGGACTGACCACTCGGGCATATCGGTCACGGACCGAGGGCCCGAGGCAGTCAGGGGCCCGGCAGCACAGCCTTGTTCCAGCTGGAGAGATCAGAGATCTCTCCAACTGGAACAGCAAAAAATAATAAAATAAAACTTTTTCATTGATAGGTTGTGGGGCCCCTGATGCAGCGCGGGGCCCCCACAACCTACCGCTCTGCTATTCACACCCCCCCCATGAGACCTGGCAGCTTCACCTGCTCTCTGCCAGGTCTCCGGCTTCCTCTCCCATGCGGCTCTGTGTGATGGGAGAGGAGGGGCCAGGAAGTGACATCACTTCCTGTTTACTCCTTTCACACAGAGCCAGGAGGGGAAGGAGCAGCAGCCTGGGAGAGGAAGCAGAGAGACAGGTAGGCACCAATCACACCCCCTCACTGTCACTAGTCACCCACCCTCACTGTCACCCCCCTCACTGTCACCAGTCACCCCCCCCTCACTGTCACTAGTCACCCCCCCCTCACTGTCACCAATCACCCCTACACTGTCACTGATCACCCCCCTCACTGTCGCAATCCACCCCCTCGCTGCCATCACCAATCCACCCCTCACCAATGCCAATCACCCCCCTCACTTTTGTACTTAATCACCCCCCCCTCCTGTCGCAATCACCCCCCCTCCTGTCACTAGTCACCCACCCTCACTGTCCACCCCCACTATCGCAGTCACCCCTCACTGTCACCAATCGCACATAACTTGCGTCATAATCCCGCCCCCTCACTGTCACTAGTCCACCCCCCCTCCCTGTCACCAATCACCCCCCCTCACTGTCACTAGTCACTCCTGTCATAGTCACCCCCCACTATCACTTGATCACCCCCTCACTTGTCTTAATCACCCCCCACTGTCACCAATCACCCCCTCACTGTCACTGAGTCACCCCCCTCACTGTCACCAATCACCCCCCCCCTCACTTGTCACTAGTCACCCCCCTCACTGTCGCAGTCACCCCCTCACTTGTCACCAGTCCACCCCCCCCCACTGTCACCAGTCACCCCTCACTGTCACTAGTCACCCCACCCTCACTTGTCACCAGTCACCCCCCTCACTGTCACCAGTCACCCCCCTCACTGTCACCAGTCCACCCCCCCTCCACCTATCACCAGTCACACCCCCCCTCACTGTCACCAGTCACACCCACCCTCCTGTCACCAGTCACCCCTCACTGTCACTAGTCCCCCACTGTCACTGATCACCCCCCTCACTGTCACCAGTCACCCCCCCTCACTGTCACCAGTCACCCCCACTGTCACCCAGTCACCCCCCCCACTGTCACTAGTCACCCGTCCTCACTGTGTCACTAGTCACCCCCCCACTGTCACCAGTCACCTCCTCACTGTGTCACTAGTCACCCCCCCTCACTGTCACTAGTCACCCCCCCACTGTGTCACTAGTCATCCCTTCCCTCACTCACTCTGTCACCCCTTCCCTCCCTCACTTTGTCGCTAGTCACCCCTTCCCTCCCTCACTTTGTCACTAGTCACCCCCTCCCTCGCTCTGTCACTAGTCACCCCCTCCCTCGCTCTGTCACTAGTCACCCCCTCCCTCTGTCACTTGTCATCCCCTCCCTCATTCTGTCACTAGTCACCCACTCACTCTAGTGACAGAGTGAGGGAGAGTGTGACTAGTGACAGAGGGAGGGGTGACTAGTTAGGGAGGGAGTGACTAGTGACAGAGGGAGGGATGGGGTGACTGGTGACAGAGTGAGGGAGGGGATGACTAGTGACAGAGTTAGGGAGGGAGTGACTAGTGACAGAGGGAGGGATGGGGTGACTAGTGACAGTCACCATCTCCCTCCCTCTGTCACTAGTCACCCCCTCCCTCATTCTGTCACTAGTCACCCCCTCCCTCACTAGTCACCCCCCTCACTCTGTCACTGGTCACCCATTCCCCCCCTCACTCTGTCACTAATCATCCCCTCACTCTGTCACTAGTCACCCTCTCCCTCACTCTGTCACTACTCACACCCTCCCTCACTCTGTCACTAGAGTGAGGGGATGACTGGTGACAGAGTGAGGGAAGGGGTGACTAGTGGCAGAGTGAGGGAAGGAAGGGGTGACTGGTGACAGAGTGAGAGAGGGGGATGACTAGTGACAGAGTGAGTTAGGGGGTGACTAGTGACAGAGTAAGGGACAAAGGGGGTGACTAGTGACAGAAGGAGGGATTGAGTAGTGACAGAGGGAGGTGGTGACTAGTGACAGAGGGAGGGAGGTAATGACTAGTGACAGTCACCACCTCCCTCACTCTGTCACTAGTCACCCCCTCACTCTAGTGACAATGAGGGAGGGGGTGACTAGTGACAGAGTGAGGGAGGGAAGTGGTGACTAGTGACAGAGTTAGGGAGGGAAGGGGTGACTAGTGAGGAAGGGGTGACTAGTGACAGAGTGAGGGAGGGAAGGGGGTGACTAGTGACAGTCACCACCTCCTTCACTCTGTCACTAGTCACCCCCTCCCTCACTCTGTCACTGTGTCACCCCCTTCCTCACTCTGTCACTAGTCACCCTCTCTCTCACTCTGTCACTAGTCACCCTCTCTCTCACTCTGTCACTAGTCACCCCGTCCCTCACTCTGTCACTAGAGTGAGGGGGTGACTAGTGACAGAGTAAGGGGGTGACTAGTGACAGAGTGAGGGGGTGACAGGTGACAGAGTGAGGGAGGGGTGACTAGTGACAGAAGGAGGGAGGGAGTAGTGACAGAGGGAGGTGGTGACTAGTGACAGAGTGAGGGAGGTGGTGACTAGTGACAGTCACCACCTCCCTCACTTTGTCACTAGTCACCCCTTCCTTCCCTCACTCTGCCACTAGTCACCCCCTTCCCTCACTCTAGTGACAGAGTGAGGGAGTGACAGAGAGAGGGAAGGGGGTGACTAGTGACAGAGTGAGAGAGGGGGTGACTAGTGACAGAGTGAGGGAGGGGGTGACTGTCACTAGTCACCCCATCCCTCTCTCTGTCACTAGTCACTCCCTCCTAACTCTGTCACTAAACACCCCCTCTGTCCTTACTGACAGAGTGAGAGAGGGGGTGACTAGTGACAGAGTGAGAGAGGGGGTGACTAGTGACAGAGTGAGGGATGGGGTGACTAGTGACAGTCACCCCCTCTTTCACTCTGTCACTAGTCACCCCCTCTCTCACTCTGTCACCAGTCATCCCTTCCTTCCCTCACTCTGCCACTAGTCATCCCTTCCCTCACTCTGTCACCAGTCACCCCTTCCTTCCTTCACAGTGACAGAGAGAGGGATGGGGTGACTAGTGACAGAGAGAGGGAGCGGGTGACACAGTGACAGAGTTAGGGAGGGAGTGACTAGTGACAGAGAGAGGGATGGGGTGACTAGTGACAGTCACCCCCCTCACTCTGTCACTAGTCACCCCTTCCCTCCCTCACTTTGCCACTAGTCATCTCTTCCCTCCCTCACTCTGCCACTAGTCACCCATTCCCTCACTCTGTCACTAGTCACCCCTATCTCCCTCCCTCTGTCACTAGTCACCCACTCCCTCACTCTGTCACCAGTCACACCCACTCACTGTCTCCCCCTCACTCTGCCACCACTCAACCCCTCCCACACTCTTCCACCTGTCACCTTCTCCCTCACACACTCTGTCACTTGTCATATGCATTCACACTGACCCTATATACAAAAAAGCACATTTAGTCATCCAGACATGCACAAGTGCATTCACACAGACTCAAATACAAACATGCATTGATACACAGGTCTTCACAATACACACATCCAAAGGAATGCCGTATTATGAATTATATTTAACATTTATTTAATGCACATATATTTGGCCTTCAGAGGGCCTGGGATCTAATTTTGCCCGGGGGCCCCAAAGGCTCTCAGTCTGCCCCTGGATGTCAGACTATCACAGGACAAATGTTTTATCTAATGTATGTGCTTTGTTTAACAATTTCTTTACAAAGAAACTATTTTTAGGTAAATCAAAACCAGGTTAAGGGTTAGAGGACAGATGACATGTCAGTCTCTTATAGTAGTGTGTGCTAATATCCAAGGCAATAAACTGCAACACAAATCAAGAATCCACCTTACTGGTTGTAGCTACTTTACAAGGTATAAAAATTTTCTTGCACATTCCCATCCGATCTCACAGTTCATTTACCCCAGTGTCCGTGCATACACTCAATGGGATTAGTTTCTGGGCAGTCCATACCACCACAGAGCTGCATTTTGTGATGTGCATGGTGTTTTATTGCCCAGACAGGTAAACAAAGGACTTCTTTTAAAAGTTTGTACTAAATTAAAAGAGGCACTATAGGGTCCGGAACACCAACATGTATTCCTGACCCTCTGGTGTTAAAAACACCATTTAGGTGGCTTGCCATCTCCCAAAAAGGTTATAACCCTTACCTTTCCAGCACCGCGTGAGTCCGCCGGTACTGGCTCCACCCCTGATGACATCATTAGAATGTATGATTATAGGAAAGCATTGGATTGGCTTAAATCAGCAAGGAGGCGGGGTCAAACACCAGCTTATCCAATAAGCACCTCCTCATAAAGATGCATTGAATGCAGGGGGTTGAGACGCTTAACAAGCAGCACTGCCCCAGGAAGCACCGCCGCACACTGTGCAGCATTGCCTCAGGAAGCACCTCCAGTGGAGGTGTTTACATAAAAAAGTGCCTGCAGGGAATGATTATACTCACCAGAAAAACTACATTAAGCTGTTGGTGTTCTGGTGACTATAGTGTCCATTTAAAATAGGAATTTGTACTATATTAATATAGATTTTGTATTATACAATTAAACTGCTTGTGGTCACAGATATTTTAGGAACATAAATATGATACCTTCTTAAATTCTTTAGCCTTTTCCCGATTTTTGGCATAGGATTTCTGTCGCATCATCTCCTCTTTCCTGGCTTTGACTTCATCAAGCTGATTATATAACCTAGAGGAAAAGCAAATTCTGTAAAAGCGATGTATACGGAAACACAAAAGGTTGACAGGATAAATATACCACCAGAGTAGGGCAGTAAGGAGGCCACACTGCCCTTTAATTAGACATTATCATAGGTTACAATATAATCATTGCTATAACATAGTTTCCAAAAATTACCACTAATGAACCAGTCTGATAAATGAACCAAATTCCTTAACATTGTTTAGAATTGACTGCTCTAAATGATTCTAACCAATAATTCTCTTTGACAAACTCATGTAAAAAGGGAATTTAAAAAAAACCCTGAAACTATGAAGCAAAAGTGTCCTATGGAGGAACATGCAGCGCTGCTACAGCTCCCTATAGACTGCCTACAATACTCTGATTTCATTTTGTAAGTGGCTTATCTAATAATATACAACATCTTAACTTGTAATTAGAGGTAATTTTCAAGCAGTTTTTGGAGCACAGCTTTATAAACAATTCACTCGTTATTGTCACCAACAAAGTTACAATGCGTGCTCATTCACATTAAAATATACTGTGTGCAAGGAAAACATGTAGTTACCGTATAGTCCTCTGCTGCATCTCTAGTTCCGTCAGTTTACGGTCCTCTGGGGAGCACACTCGGACTTCAACTACTTTCTTCAACTGTCCAACGTCAGACAGGGCTGCCGGGGCTTTAACAATTACAAAAAGAAGGGGGGAAAAAATTTCAGTTCAAGAACTACAAGCAGCATTTGTGTTTAAATTTCAATATAGGTAAAGGTTATATATACATACAGACACACAAAGACTTCTTACTAATATATTTAATGTATATAAAACATATAAAGTTCAGGAATAAAATAATATACTTGTACATTTGCAGAAACCTACCAGAATTATTGGAGAGCTCCAGAGGTTTGTTTGAAGCAGGATTTAGGGAAGGTTTAAAGTTTGTTTTATTTGACGTTCCATCTTTTTGTTTTAGATTTTCAAGTCTTTTTGCGGATCTCTCTACAAAATCTTTTTTCTTCCTTAAAAAAGCTTCTTGCAGATTGCCAGAGGAGGATGAAATCTCTAGGTTCATTTCTGGAATATATAGAGTGACAAAGAACAGAACAGGTATTATATCAGAGTCAAAAATGGGTCGCAAGAGAATACGGAGAACGGGCAGCAGCTGAAATAGCCTGCCCTTCGGTCGGTCCCTGCTCAGTTCTCAAGCTGATTTTTGCTTATCTTGTGCCATTACAGAGAGAACATCTCTGAATCATATCAGACTGGTCCCACCCATACGGGCAGTCCAGATCCGAAATGCCAGCAAGTTCCCTCTGCACGAGAGACATAGCAACCCCAGACGATCGTTTCAGCCTTGTTGGGCATCATCAGTGAGGCATAGCTGATATCTCCCTAGGCACCGTGAGCAAGGGGTCCACCTCTGGATTATCCCTTTAAACTTGTGGAGAGTCAAAAATGGGTCGCAAGAGGTATTATATAAACTCAATAAGTTGGGTTGCCCTTTATTTAAACTCTTCTCTCTCAATCCTGTGTATAAACAGTATAAAGTTTGCAATACCGAGATCTGTGTTCTAGAACTTAATTCAGTCTGTATATATCTTGTAGATTAACTCACGGGCAGCCCCTTCTTCCCTCTGACTGTCTTTGTAGGGTAAAGCACAACTAAATTCAGCTTTAGTATGTGGATTCTGCAAAAATTTCATTCTTCTGTATTATTACCCATAAGGAGAGCATTCGTATAGATTGTATCTAGTGTGAGAAAATATTTCTCAAAGGATCTGAAATATTAACATACAAGCGGGACTACCATTAAGAAAAGTGTTTTTAAAGGGTAAAATAAAATTTAAATGTTTTATGTATCCAAAATTAGGTACTAAAAAGAACTTGTTTTTTTAATGTTAGACACCAATTTAAATTTGCTTTTACTAATTATTCTAACTCTGTTGTCAGTGCTACAGATGTCATCTTATTAAAATGTTCATACTGATAATGCATTATTTAAAACCAGCTACTGTAAATATCAGCAATTTGGATGCCACCTGGTCAAAAAGTAAAAAGTACAATTACCTGTAAAGTGCTGTGATAAAGACTCTTCTGTAACACAGAGACCTGCAGAGGACCAGTCTGGAAGGGTGACCCCAGATGCATCCACTTCCGCGGTTAAAGGGTGAAATCCACTCTGTGAACAATATGAAAAGTCAATAGAAGTGGAGCAGTCATTAACAGCACTCTGGTGTGGCGATGGAAGTGACTGGTGCAGTGGGCCACATGCAACGGCTGGTCGGTAGGTGACAGCTGAAGGTGGTTCGGCTGGGGGTAGTGGTTCTAGGCAAGGTGGACTAGAGGGCCGAGTATAGACCAGGCATAGGCAACCTTCGGTACTCCAGATGTTTTGGACTACACCTGCCATTATGTTTTGCTAACATTATGGGTGTAAGAGCATATTGGGGGATGTAGTACACAACATCTGGAGTAGACCATTCTCTGAGGGACAGTGGCCTGGTTCTGTCAGAGGATCTCCTTCCTTATCTTGATTTGTGAATTCTGCTCTGCAAAGCCCAATGATACCTTAAATTCACATCTGTAGCAATATGTTTATTGTGGGTGCGGTGAACCAAAATGGTACGGACAACCATCTAGGAATCATATGGATCTGAGTGGTTGTATGATGGCTCATCAGTAAGGACACTGAAGAAGTACCCTATGGTTCAAATGCAGTTCTCTTTAAGGAAGCCGTCCCATTACAGATGCTATTGTTCCCATACTCCATGCTTAACAACTTCAAAAGCGGTGTTGTGAATACCAGAATGAACAAAAAGAAAAAGAACCCAAAACATTCCATGGCTTCCCTAAACAATCCTAATCGCCAATGAACCTTTATAGGGAGTCCACAAAAGCAAAGCAAACGATTCCCAACTTTCTCATCTCTCAAAGAGCTAGAGCTATGTGATGAATCCATTACGGAAAAGGTCATTCTGCCTGATAAGGATGGGATGTACTTGGTATGAAATGTAAGAGTGCAAACTGTTTAAATTACAGTGTTAAAATACATACCTCGACAGAGCTCTGTTCTTCACAATGTTTAGATGCAATCGTTGCACTGGTAAAAGATTCAGAACCTACAACACTGCTGTCATTTAAACTCACTAGTGTCAAGTCAGGTTCTTCCATGATTCCACAAGCAGACCCCTTGCCCTAACACACAAAAGAGAAAACATTAAATAATGGTATTAAATTAACAGGAAAAAAACTAAACAAAAAAGTTTGTACACAATTACCTTTGCCCAAAAAGTAACAACAGTTATGTCAAATAGTCTTCAGTATTAAAAAGATTAAAGAAGGAAACATCCCAAGTACCCTAAACCAATATTAGTTATAGTTCTAGGAAGGTATGGGTGAAGTTCTGCTTGTTTTTTTCAAACCATTCCAAAAATATATTGATAAAACCAAAGGTATTACCTTGCACACAAGAAGGTACTCCCCACCCATTAGGGATTCGGTAGCATTTCACTGCAGATAAAATGTACTATTATTCCAGTGCTTTGAGCCGTGATAATGG